AAAATAATTTTCACATTTAGTATTATTTTACAAGAAAGGCACTTTATTTTAACGATTGTATGACATTTGACAACTGTCAACTAACTTAAAACTAACTTTAGCCCGTGACTAAAAACCTGTTGCTAACTTCAGACCGTGACTAAAGCGCCGTAAAGCCACAACTTGTCAATGTGTATTTAAAAGGTCACTTAGTGGCATGGAAACATGTACAATAAAGGGCGTTTTAAAGGTGGGAGTAGAAAAAATATGTTAAATTTATTTATATTTTATTTATTTTACAAAATAGTAGGTATATTTCCATTTATTTATTTTAATTTGTTATTTTAACATTTCTTTTTAATTAATTTTTACATTATTAATTGATTATTTTTATTTATTTTAATTAAATTTTTAAATAATATAAGAATATTGATTTTTGGGCAAAAAATAAAACATGTAAATATGTAATAATAATAATAATTTATTATACTACAATACAATTTTTAAAAAAGGCTGGCAATGAAGTATTGGAATTCACTAAAATTGTACAGTCCATTCAATTTGATTTGATTAAAAAATTTCTGTACTCAAATATTTAACAAATATTTTTGAGCAAGATTAACACTTGTTTAGGAGTTATTTAAACTAATGTATTATATTGAAATTACCATAATTTTCTCGTAACATTAAATATACTACAATGTACAAAAAAATTAATCTTTAATATTCTTATTTGTGTAGGACCTTTTAACACATTAATGTTTGTTAAATCTTTTGAAATTATAAGATTTTAATTATTATAATTTTTGTATCACTCTGTATAAAAGAAAAAAAAATTAAAGAAATCATAGTCATAAACTGTTTCCCTAATTTTTTTTTAAATTCTTGAACGTTTTAAACATTAAAAATTCTTGTTTTAATGCTCTTGAGGCGTGTAGTTGAATTTTTAAATTAACAATGAGCCGGAGAAGATTTGTAATGAGAACACCTGCAATTTATTGTGTTAATAAACAATTTTTATAGACAACTTTAAATAACGAACATCTGCTTGTACTTACCTTGAACTTAAATTTACAATTAAACTACTTAAATGACCAAAGCTAAACATATTTTAATAACGTGAAAAATGATACGCTTGTAAGTAGTTGAAAAACGTGAAGAATTTAATGAAAATCAATGTGAGTTTATTAAAATTAAATGGTCTCGTTCAGAAATTAAATCAAAACATTTTATTTATAATTGCTCCATTAAAATTATTATTATTGGAAAAATAATATACTCGTTAAAATTAATACGCATCTTTTTGAATGAATTAATTTATTTAATTTCGTCATTAAATGGGAAACGTTAATTGGGGATTGCAAAACGACTTAATGGTCGATTTTATTTAACAATTTATTTATCCAAATATTAAAGATTGAAGCTAACTTAAGCCCATAGTTAAACTTTAAATAGGTCAACAAAGACAATGTTATTTTTTATTAACTGAATAAAATACCAAAAGCTTCCGAACAATAAACCCGTCGAAGGAAATCGGCTTAAAAATACCAACCGACCCATTTAGATAAACTTAAAAGGCGCAATATAAAAAACCAGGACATCTAAATAAAATCTAAAAAGGTATACGCCCTATTAGACATCTACCTGTTCATTCACAGAACTGAATAACTCACCGTTTTTTGCGACAATTAACAGGTGGAATTTTATTTTTATTTTATTCAGCCGCATATTCTCACGTCGGGCAAAACTGCGCTCGCACACACAGTTTAGTCCTTTTTCGTCCTTTTTCACGAGAAGAATTAAGGGGGCCCTTTGTGAACGCCCGGCGCAAATATTTTTGAATGAAACGTTATTATGGAGTATTATGACAATCAGGTAATGTTAGGCTTTTCAGGAACCTGAATGGATGGATATACGGGGGTCAGAAACATACCTCTGAGTCAATCCAAATGAAAACACCAACAATTTAAAAGTGCGCTGCATGATTTTTTATTTTAATAAAAAAATTGAGGATGATCTTTTAGGTATCATATATGAAAACCGTTGCCGTTTTAATTTTTAGTTTAGCTTTATTTTTAATCGGCACCCTTTAGAAACCTGAAATCGTGTCATTTTCTTACTCTCTTATGAGAGGCTAAAACTTTTTTTCTGTGGCAATTATTGAAATGATTGTAATTTTACTGTCTAGTAAGTATGTTTTCAATATTAATTATTATTAATGGTAAACCACTAAAGATTTGTAATAATTTCCCAATTTTTGTGATTTTTGTCCTGTGCCTATTCTGCTAAATCTAGTTGCTTTTTTCAGGCATCAAGTACTTATACAATAGAAAACGTAACTATTATTTTAAGTTTCTAGACTATCATTTTCTTTATTAAAAAAATTATTGAAACTTAATAATTTTTAAAATTAGCCAATTTTGCCCTCAGAAATCATTATGTTGAGGAAAAAATAAAAATCTGAAACTTTCAGGAAATGTAGTCCCCACCTTCATCTTTTTAGTCTAGTTAGTCTTGTTTTGTTATTTTTATCCATGTAAAAGATATAATAATTTTTTTAATGCAGTTAAGAAGCGATATATCGTTATATATATTTATTTATAATTTAAAATTTAAAATAATATAATTTAAAATTTAGATGGCTTTGACTTAGTCAATTCATGTTTGGTAGAGAAATGTCAGAACTGTCAAAACTATTTCATAAATATTATTTGTGAATATTTAAATTGTGATTTCAAAAAGTTTGCAAGTTTGCAAGTGTAATGAATGACGGATTGTTCGAGATTCATGAATTTAATTGCAATTAAAAATGCAGAACCTATCATAATTTTGTACCTCTTTCTCATAGAAAATATTCAAGTTCTGAGAAGTTATAAATTGTTACAAATAAGCAAAAACCAAAAAATATTTTAAATAAACCCCTTTATTATAACCTGTTTTATTTACCAGTTACCTAAAAACTAAAATTTAAAGAAGTATTTACAGATTGTGTACATCTTTTTCCAACACTATAGTGTTATAACATTTAAAATATATACATATAACTTTTAACTATTAAGTGCCTTACTAAAGGGATCAAAATAATAGAACAAGACTAACTAGGTTTAAATTGTGAAAGAAACCGACAAAAAACTGCTTAACGCATTTTTTATACGTTTAAATTAACTCTTTATTAATTTCACTTATTATACCTACTTTACGATATAAACCATAAAGATCTTGAATATATTTTTTACATTATTCTTTAAACACCAATTAGCCAATTAAATACTTCATTATAATGTATACATTATACAATATACATATAATATATAATCATATATATATGTGATTATTAGGGATGGGATATTTGGGTACTAAAAACTGAAAAATAGGTAAAAAGGTACTAAAAAAAGGATTTTAGGTTAAAAAAACAGCATTTTAGGTAAAAAAAAACATTAAAAGTTTAAGTTTCGTTTATAATTTTGTTTAGCCGCATACCCAAACACAGAACATACCCTCAATAAACTATTTCTATGCAATAAACTGTGTTTTACTGAGTGACACAGAAGTTTTATGACAGAACATAAGCTCACTAGTAGTGAGTCACTACAAAGAAAAAATTCTATACCGTTGAGTTGCACGCCCTCCCTGGATAAAATATTGGCGCAAATTTTAAAAAGAACAAAAAAAATAAAATAAGTAAAAATACGTAAAAATAGGTAATAAATATATGAAAATAAACTGACAAATTAAAAAATATGTAACAAAAGTATAAAAAGGTAGTTTAAAGCAAAAACCTCCAAAAAAGGTAAAAAAGGTGAAAAAAAGTTAAAAAAAATAGGTAACAAAAGTATAAAAAAGGTAGTTAAAAGCAAAAACCTCCAAAAAAGGTAAAAAAGGTGAAAACAAGTTAGGTTCATATAAAAGAAAATCTTTTAAAACACATTTTGGCATTATTGGTTTTCAAATAGTTACATCGGTTAAAAAAAGGTAAAATAACTAAAATCCCATCCCTAATGATTATACAATACATAAAATATAACATAACTACCAAATATATCAGAAATGTCCAAAATATTTCATAATTATTATTTGTGGTAGGTATTCCTTTGGTGATTTTAAAAAGTTTTGTATATAACATAATATGACATATTATGTTATATACAAAATTTACCAAAGAAATACGCAAAAATAATATTTATGAAATATTTTTGACAGTTCTGACTTCTCCACCAAACATGAAAGCCATCTAAATTTTAAATTATAAATAAAACTAACAATATCGCTACTAAACGGGCATTAAAAAAAATTAATATATCTTTTAAAGGAATAAAAATAACAAAACAAGACTAACTGGACTGAAAAGATGAAGGTGGGGACTACATTTCCTGTAAGTTTAAGATTTTTATTTTTTCCTCAACATAATGATTTCTGAGGGCAAAATTGACTAATTTTAAGAATTATTAAGTTTCAATAATTTTTTTAATAAAGAAAATGATAGTCTAGGAACTTAAAAATAATAGTTACGTTTTCTATTCTATAAGTACTTGATACCTGAAAAAAAATCTTTCTAGATTTAGTAGAATAGGCACAAGAGCCAGACAAAAAATCATAAAAATTGACAAATTATCATGAATCTTTGGTGGTTTACCATTCTTTTATAAGATTAACTAATTGGATAATAATAATTTATATCGAAAACACACTTACTGAACAGTAAAATAAAATTAAAATCATTTCAATATTTTTCACAGAAAAGAAGTTCTGGCCCACTATAAGAGAGTAAGAAATTGACACAATTTCAGATTTCTAAACGGTGCCGATTAAAAGTAAAGAATCCAAAAATTAAAACGGCAACGGATTTTCATATTTGATACCTAGAAGATCATCCACAATTTTTTTTATCAAAATAAAAAATCAAGCAGCGCACCCCATTTGGTGTTTTTATTTGAAGGAATCCCATACCAATGTGTATAATTATTGTTTGTTTACTTTTACAAACACCTTAACATTTAGTTTGTCTGAAAGTTTCAATGACAATGAACGTATATCAAGTTTCCTTAACTATTTGTAAGATATTTCCACAAATACATCTACTAAATTACTGATCTCCTTTTTAGTTTTAGCATGTGGTGTTCAAGCTCTCAGGTGTAAAAGACTATCAGTTCCAGGTATCTATTTCTGTGTTATATTTTACTGTAGACTGGATTAATATGATGTATTTAAGATTGTGGACTTAAGCATCCAAATCTGGAAGAGTTAAGACATCCAAAATTGGATTATCCTTGGCATGTAGCAATTTTCAAAAACTATTATAAAAAAGATTTATATAGTTGTGGAGGAACCTTAATAACACCAAAAATTGTTGTGACAGGTGGTTTATTTTACAAAGTATATGTTAATCATCCTAAAACGTCTTCTTGAAATCCACTGACAACCATTTATTAAAATATTTTAGCTGCCCACTGTGTAACATTGGAAAAAGGCGATGAAATAACTTCTTCACCAGATGATTTTACTGTTTTTGCCGCAAAGTATTACCTTGATGGGGACGATGCAAATGTACAGTCTTCGAAAGTCAGGAAAATAATACCATCAGAAAAGTACCAAGGGGCTTCATCCAACTTTGGTTTTGATATAGCATTACTTGTTTTAACCAAAGAATTTAAATTATCAAAACATGTTCAACAAATATGTAGGAACGGTTCTCACGTTGTTTCTTTAAAGCCCAACCTAATGGGAGTTGTGAGTACTTAAATATCAAATATATCAATACTGTGTTTTATGTTTCATGTATAGGTTTCAGGATGGGGTAAAAAGCCAGATTGCATTGAAACCATCAATGAACTTCAAGAAATACATGTTTCCATTGAGGAAGACGCCATTTGCCAAGCTAAACTTCCAGAATCATGTTTGCACTTTTTTACCGATGATAAATTTTGCGCCAAATTCAACCAGAGTAAGAATATCAAATAGCTCAATCAGCAAAATTGAAAACCGTTTTTTATTTTCAGGTGATGTTCCATGCCTGGGATTAAGTGAAAGTGGTCTATTTTTTAAGAATAACGACGAAAGGTTTTATATTAAAGGAATTTTAAGCACTGCCCCTCGTGAAAATGGAACTTGTGATCACCAGTATGCATTGTACACAAATTTGGATGAATTTGATAGTTTTATAGATAAAGTTGTAAGGGAAAATACACTGTAACCACTCAAATTTGTTGAACGTTCTTCAAAGCAATATTGATAAAATTTTATAATTTTAACGATTTTTAATAATACCAAATTTAGTTAGGGTTTATAACTCTAGACCTTATCATATTTTAAACAATATACATACCTTAGTGTTATGTACTGCGTGTTAGAGAACTTTTGGATCAAATGGTTCCTGAACAATTGATTAGACGAAGAAGAGCTCTACATTGGCCAGCCAGATCTCCAGATTTGGTCCCCTTAGACTTTTTTACCTGGGGTCAATTAAAAAGTAAAAAATTGCTTACCCTGTATTCTTTGAAATTATGGAAATAGATCTAATAATAGTAATTATATCTTGACATTTTACTTAGAAATTATGTTATATAAAAACGTGTTAATTTAATTTTTACCTAGTGAATTTATAATAATGTTTTGCATAAAATATTATGGAAAACCACTTACAGAAGAACCTGTATCTGTTATTAATGTTTCTTTTAAACATCGTTTCAAGTGTCAACATGTTATTATTATGAATGAAAGGAATTCCCATGAATAAATTATCAACAATAATTTGATTTTCATTCTTATAAAAGCAAAAGTATATGGTTCAATTTTCAGTTGTATTCAAAATGGAAGTGTATCACGTTTTCATATTATCCATTTGTAAGTAATATACTTAGGTTTTATAAAAACCATAAATTTATTTAGTTACAGTATGTGGAGTTCAAGCAATAAGTGGAAAATTGGGACCAGGTACCTAGATTTATTAATGAACGTATTTGATAAATACAATAAATGTTTTTAAGATTGTGGATTGAAACAAACAAATCTTGAAGGAAAATCGATTTATCCATGGCAAGTAGCCATTTTCAGGAAGTTAAATGGAGAGGAACAGTTTATCTGCGGAGGAACATTACTTACAACAAAGATTATTTTGACAGGTTCTATAAATTTTCCTTCAAAACTTTTGACTTAATACTGATTTATTTGTATAGCCGCCCATTGCGTAACAAAGGAAAAAGGCAATGATATAGCTGTATCACCAGAAGATTTTACTGTTTTCGCTGGAAAATCTTATCTTGATAAAGACGAAACCAGTGTTCAGTCTACCAAAGTTAACAAGATAATACCGGCTGAATATTGGAGAGGATCATTACAAAACTATGCGTTTGATTTGGCTTTATTAATTTTATCCACAGAGTTTAAATTATCACAGGGAGTTCAAATGATTTGCAGGGATACGTCCAATGTTGTTTCCTTAACTCCCAAACAAATAGGGATTGTGAGTACTCACACAAATATTAAACATTTCAATAGGTTTGATTTTAGATTACTGGTTGGGGAATAACTAAACCAGACCAAGTCAAAATATCAAATGAACTCCAAGAAATACCAATTCCAATTGTGGACGAATCCGTTTGTAAGAAAGATTTTCCATCATCGTTCTTGAAGTATTATTCCGAAGATAAATTTTGTGCTGGGTATTACAACCAAAGTAAGTATGCTTCATTCGGTTGATGGAAAAATAAAGTACACAACTTTTTTAGCTAAAGGGGTGTGCCAAGGTTTTGGTGGTGCTGGCCTTTACTTCGAAAAGGATGGTAGACATTATATCAAAGGAATTCTAAGTGTTTCTCCTGTTACAAATGGAAAATGTAATCTTCAGCAGTATGGTCTCTATACGAATTTGGCAAAGTTTGATAGTTTTATTGATCAGGCAATCATCGAAAACGCCTAGAAGCTTGTTAATTATTATGTGATAAATAAATAAAATTATTTGTAAAATTTTCTTGGTTTATCTAATCTAATTTTCCACTAGCTTTCATGCTTCAGATGTATCCCATTTAAGCTTATTTGAACCTATTAAGATAATTATTTACTTAAAACCCTTTAGTGTAATAAAATAAAGACAAAAGACCCCAATTCGTCAGCACCATTAAAGTAGTGACAGGCAGGATAATAACGCTTAGTCAAACATTGCGGTGAGCTGTTTATCTTGAACCAGATAATCGTCCCATTCGTTTTTGTATCTGGGTTGGGGATGGCTAGGTGTGCGAGACCATCAAACGCAGGGTGGGCTGGGGCGTGTTCGTAACCTACCCCCTCTTTAACTTTGCGCCCTAACGACCTGTCTTAACTCGTAATTGGTACTTCACAACTCTTTGCTTGATATATCGGTTCAGTAACTCAATTATCAAAGGGATTTTTTGGGATTGTTTTTATTACACCATGGTTTTAGAAAAATATTGCTATTTTTATAAAAAAAAATATCTATATACAATAGGTATTTAGAAGGTACAAAAACATGTTGCCCGTCCCCTGTATAACCGTTGTGGGATCGTTTGCCGTAAACAAAACACGAAACGGGGAACTTCAGGTGTTTAAATTCAAAAGGCGTAAAAAAGGAATAGCTTTATATAGTATGTTATTATAATGCCGAAGAAGGCAAAACTACACCAGATACACCTGTGTGTGCGCCAAACAAGGACGGCCGACCACGAACCTACCAGCAAGACGAAGAGAACCATATGGCGACAGTCTGGCGGAGAATGCAGCAAAATCCTATTCTACCTGTCGGGGGGCTTAGAATGTTCTCAAGTTCGAGACGAGAGGGTTCTAAATGTCACAGTCCGATTGCGATTGGTCGTGTTTGTGTTGTCTAAGCGCAAGTGTTTATGTTTGCCGACAATTGAACGGAATAACGTCGGGTTGCGTAACCAAAATGTTGTCAAACAATTATTAAACTCCTTGGGAATTGTTAAGAAACTGGAAAATAATCGATTTGTATTAGAACGATTTAAATAACGTTTTATGTTCAAGAGGTGGAAGTAACATATGTATAAAAAAATATACCTATGCGAATTTTTTTCCTGAGAAAGTAGTAGCAAAAATGGGGTAAAGTCTGGATCGAGCTGGTCACTCAACCGATTAGGAAATATACTTTATCTTAATTCGTAACGTGTTCGTAACAACTGTCCTTATACCTATTTAACAAAGTATCCGAAAAAAGATGCCATCACTGGTTTTTAAACTGAAGTTACGGGATACAGTGAAACATAATCATATTGTACTGATCTCAGAATGGTGTGTAATTTAATTTTGTTATTTTTGTGTTCATTTATGTAGGTATGTGTTAATTTTTTTGATTAGGAAACTGATTAATAAAGCAATTTCCAACAAATGCTTTTGTTACTGGGTCTACAAAAAGGAATGTAAAAATAATTAATTACAAGAATTATGGTTGAATTATTAAATCTACAAAATGTTTGTTATAATTACAAACTACTTATTATCTGGTATCTGGTGAGTCTGGATCATCTTGGTTTGGAAACTGAATTGCCAAATTTGGTACAAGATCTTCTTGAAGAGAAGTTAAGAAATTTTTGCCATTTAGAGTTTTGTTTAGAAAGGCGTACTCTATTACCAATTATGACAGCCCACCCATTTACCTTTTCTGTATACTGGACATGATTTTCTTCAATCCAATGAGGATTTTTGTGGCTCCAATATGTACAATTTTGACGTTCAATTCTTCGATCGGGATCATTACTAGTTACTACTGTTTGCATCTTAAAGGGATGCATTTTTGAACCATGTTGTAACTTCATTACGGTGTGACTCAAGATAGTTCTCGCAAGCAGTTTGTCGAACTGAAGTACCAGGATATTTTTGGATTGCTAATGAGCTTGGTATCATCTTCAACAATAGGTTGGTGTTGACATGGAATATTTTTTACATGAAAATTTGATGATGTTTTTACTAACAGTCCCATTTGTTAAATAATCAAGCAACTTCTATCTGATTTCGACACCTATCGCCAAATTAGAAACTCAGTAGGCAAGGTTTCAGTTAAATAAGGAATTTTCAGTCAATTTACTATAAAACATTTACCCTTGTAACGCCTGTTATATTCATAAGTAAGTGTTAACTCAGATAACCTATTATTTTCTGATTATCGGTAATATTTTTTAAAGGTTAATAAAAAAGGTACTGCAAGATATAATCAAGTAAACAAGAAGATAACAACTTTGATAATAATCATACTTTAATAATACAAATTATAAGACTTTGATATATCAACACATTCTTAAGAGCAGGCTCCATGTTATTAACAAAGGTTTTATTAATTAAGGTGTTGTTAAAACAAACGAGTTAATTTAAAAATAACTATACTTCCATTAAAGTTAACAAGAAACTGGAGAAGGAAACGTTATTATATCTTAATTAGAACGATTTTATGAAACTGTGGCCATGTTATCATTACCAACAACAACGACGACTGAGATGAGGTCGATTGCTTTGCAAGTCCTTGTTTTTGTGTGTGGTTTTTGACGAGCAAATAAAACAAAAGTGGAAATTGGCATTGAATGTAACCTTGTTAAGAACAGGTGGTCCAAAAATGCGCAATTTTTGTTGTCCGCACAAAGTCATAAAAGTTTATGAAGAACGTGTTTCGTTTTACTTACGTATGTTCGTTGGGTTGGTACTATTTTAATTTAATACAGACAATCATATATAAACCAACCACAATTCGGAATTTGTATAACGCAAAAAATATTCCTTTGTTGAGATATGTTGGTTGGCGATTCGACTATGTTTAGTTTGGCACCATTTGAAACGAGGTTTGACAAAATTTTTTTTTACCTTTTTACCCTTCTGAAGGTAGTTTCAGATTTTTAAATTAATTTTAAAAAAAACCAGAAAAGGGTAAGAAAAAATATATTTTTTTCAGACAAGGTTTTTTCTTACTTTTATACCCTTCTGAAGGCACTCCCAAAGTACATTTCATTTTTATTTATTTGTAAGCTAGTGATGGCAATTATATTTTCACACATTAATTAATTAATTAATTAACTAAAAACCTATGCTAAATGGGGATTAATTAACGGAGAAAATAACTTATTAGTGACGTTCAGGTACAAACAACACCAAAGACTATTGTGTCTGATCATGTATAGAAGAAACACAGTGAGACAAGTGATTCAAGAAATTTGAATTCAAGATTTTACTTAAACTAAAAATTAACTCTCTTCCACAATAATTGCAAATTTAAAGAAAAATCTGTCCAATAGTCGACAAAAAAAGTAGAAAAACGAAGAAGCGATTATTGTCTTAATGGGTGAAATATTACACGTCAAATAAGCTTAAATGGTATACATATGAAGCATGAAAGCTGGTGGAAAATTAGATTAGATAAACCAAGAAAATTTTAAAAATAGTTACAATATTTATTCATCACATATTAACTAACAAGCTTCTAGGAGTCTTCGATAATTTCCTGATCAATAAAACTTCGTATATAGAGACCATATTGTTGAAGATCACATTTTCCATTTATAACAGGAGAAACACTTAGAATTCCTTTGATATAATGTCTACCATCCTTTTCGAAGTAAAAGCCACCACCAACAAAACCTTGGCAAACCCCTTTAGCTAAAAAAGTTGTGTACTTCATTTTTCTATCAACCCAATGAAGCATACTCACTTTGGTTGTAATACCCAGCACAAAATTTATCTTCGGAATAATACTTCAAGAACGGTGCTGGGAGTTTGTTCTTACAAACTGATTCGTCCACAATTGGAATTGGTATTTCCTGGAGTTCATTTGGTATTTTGACTTGGTCTGGTTTAGTTATTCCCCGACCAGTAATCTAAAATCAAACTTATTGAAATGTTTAATATTTGTGTGAGTACTCATAATTCCTATTTGCTTGAGAGTTAAGGAAACAACATTGGACGTGTCCCTACAAATCATTTGAACCCCCTGTGATAATTTAAATTCTCTGGATAAAATTAATAAAACCAAATCAAACGCATAGTTTTGTAATGATCCTCTCCAATATTCAGCCGGTATTATCTTGTTAACTTTGGAAGATTGAACACTGGTTTCGACTTTATCAAGATATGATTTTCCAGCGGAAACAGTAAAGTCTTCTGGTGATACAGCTATATCATTGTCTTTTTTCTTTGGTACACAATGGGCGGCTATACAAATAAATCAGTATTAAGTCAAAAGTTTTGAAGGAAAATTTATAGAACCTGTTGGAATAATCTTTGTTGTGAGTAATGTTCCTCACATTAAACTTCCTGAAAATGGCTACTTGCCATGGATAAATCGATTTTCCTTCAAGATTTGTTTGTTTCAAGAGAGATAAATGTTTCTTCGTGTTCATCAAAATAAAAACGCTTAACATCTGCGAAAAGACTTGTTTTAAACCTCACAGTTCATGGGTAGAAACCAGGTGGAAAAATGATTTGATTATTTCTCGAGTAAAATCCTTGTTCTTGCTTCACTGTGGATTGGTTACGAGGATGCTGACTGGCGCCGATCAGTCGGCGAGTTGCATACTCAGGTGCAGCTCAGTGGCCGACTCTCGAAGTCGATTCGACCGTCCAAACCAAAGTTCCCACGTGTTTGCCACCCACGGACAACACAATCGGATCTCTTGCCGTTCCGTTTGCTGTTGTTGTTGTTCTTCGTGTAGTCCGTTTCGATTGTCTTTGGCTGGTATTACTATCAATATTGTTGATATACTATCAATAGTGTTGACTATTTCTTCGTTTGAATGTTCCTATTTGCCTTCGATGGGCGTTCAATGAGCCTTTGGTGGTGTAAAATATCCTTAAAGTATTAAATTAAAGGTAGTAAATGAAGATACCGTGTTGCCAAATTTGAAACAAACTACGTTTCATAAAGTTTTGGGGCAATCAAATTTTAAATGCTTTCAAGTGAAGGCAGAAGTAATAAAGAAAATAAAAATTATATATGGGATAGCATGGTATCTCTTACATAATTTTTAATTTTTATGTAAAATAATTATTGTCCTCTGAATCCGAAAATACTCTCAAAAATTATAAAAGTAGAGCAGATATAGTCAATTCCAGATTATATGTAAAATTCACTATATCTCAAAAACTGTTCCACTTTTTTTCACTTTTGACGACATCTTCAGATTCAGGGGTCAATTAAATTTTAGTCAGAGATACCATACTGTAGTAATTACACTACAAAAAATGTACATTCACTGATAATGAAACTAATTTTGTAAGCGATTTTAATAAAATAATATTATTTTACTTAAATTTTTTATTAAATTTCCAGTGTCTTATTGGGATAAAAACCTACGATTTGTAAAAGTAATAAAATTGTTTTTATTTACTGAATAAACTTTTTTTTACTGTTAATAAAATTCTCATTTACTTTAATGAAGCAGCAATGTTGAACGTTTATAAAAAAAATGTTCATCCAACAAAGTAATAGTTGTTAATATATTGTCATGGCAATAAGAAATACTTTATGTTTATCTTAAATCTTTGTCGAACTTAAAATGTTTTTGTTAAATCTATAGTTGTGTGTGAATTGCGCTTACATAAAGTAATGCGCAGATGTTATAGTAAAATTTGTTCATTTTACTATGGCATATTTGTCTTTTCTAAATTACTATCGTTGTAATTCAAATTAATTTTATTTCAGTTAGAAAATCTTTGTTAATAGCTTACGTTAAGAACAATAACAAAAATATTTTATTGCTATAAAAAGACTTTTTTAATATTTACTAATGTTTTGCAATGGTGGCAAAATTTTTGTTATTTTTTTTTTAAAGAGGGGGTAAGGGCCAGCGTCTCCTTGGTGAACATAATTTTAACTAAGTTAACTTTATAATCCACAGTCTGTGTTATAATATTATTGATTTCACTTGTGCGAGTGAAGTGTGGTAAAATCTAGCATGATAAAAATATCAAGAAGATCACTAAGAAAATTAAAATTTCGAGGTTTTCTAAAAGAAATATTTAAGGTCTATTCTATAAACGAAGTCGGCTTGTTGTTAATTTTTTTTAATGCCGTGCATTTATTTAAAAAAAAACTACCCAACACCCAACAGTTTGTTGAAAATGTGACCATTGTGACAATGAAAATAGTTTATTGAATTAACAATTAATTTGATGTTAAATTTACATAAATTTTAATAATATTATAAAAAATGTTTTATTTTAAACGAAAAGGGATTTGTAAAATTTACCAATATCTATAAATAATACCATTAGGGTTTCATAAATACTACAAAACGTTTTTGTAAACGGTATAGAACTGTTTTTTTGGACAAATAATAATAACTATATTTATCAATGCGTTTCTATCAACATTCCTTGCAGTGTTATCGACATTCCTTGAGGCTAGACATAACCGAAAAATGCTTTTTAAATGCCACGTTTCGTAAATTCTCGTAATCGATCCCAATAAGACAATTCACTTTGGAAGTAAAAGTAAAGTAATCCTCAGGTACGGTGTTTGGTCATGACTGCGCTTTGTAAAAGTCATCGTGGTTGAATGGTGCAAAAGCATTGAATGTGCGTATCGAAGGCAATTGCAGTCGGACAGGTAGGTTCTTAAAAAGTGTTTGTTCTTATGTGTCACGTCGAGACTTGCATTGTTCTTGGGCGACAAGCAGGCGCCACTTGCATTCGGCGTCGCGCATTTCGAATAGCAATTACCTCGGCGTGTGTGACTTGTAAATTGCTTATTACCTGTACTCTGTATTACTTCGGTATTGCTAAGCGTTTGTGCAGTACCCATTCGTTGGCTTATTGGTTTTCCGGTTCGGCACTTTACCTAATATGCACTGTTCAAGAATAACCAATAGCCAACCGTCCTTTTCCAATGCTAAGATGTACCATGAATCGATAATTACACAGACATTTTTGTCTTGTTTTGCAAATGGCAGTTTCGTTTTGTTTTGGCTTGTTCTATGCTCCACACCTCAAAGTCCCACCACGTGACCACGTACGGAACGCAGTCCTTTGAAAATTTGGCATTTAAGGCTTTTCAGGTTATGTATCTGTCAAAGTATAGTCAATGAAAGAAATAATATTTATAGTGTTACCGCTTATGTTTAAGCGTTAAAAGTTAATAAATCTTTATAGTATCACAATAACAATGGTTGGTTTAAGAATTTAGGAATATAAATACTGCATTTAATGAAATTCCAAAGTGTAAGGTGCAATATAAGTGATATTTTTGTGCATTGTACATTTCTCCATAAAATAGTTTTAATTAAACAGCATTTATTAAAAATAATCTAACTTCTCTATTATGAAATAAGAATATCTGTATCAAAGGTAGGTAAATGTATTAGAACAAAAAACAACATAAACATAAACATAAATAAATATAGTTATACTAAATACCTAATTGTTGAATATGGTTCAAATTAAATTGAAGCTTTTATACTTCTAATGACAAAACTTGTGCATACCTCTTGGCATACCTACTTTAAGTTAGATTATAAGAAAACAAACAATTTTTAGAGAAACTTGCAATGTGAAAATATTTAATACTCCCATGACATGTGATTTATTAAAATTTTAATGATTTTTCGTTGTAGATCAAGTTCAGTCGAAGCTTTTTAACTATTTGTATTGACAAAACTTTATGCTGAATAAAAACTACCACATTTTTAAATATCATATTGTACAGTTTTAAATAATCCAAAATACTTATTTATTTTGGTCAAATTAATTTTTTCTAACCTTAAAATTACAAAATAAGATGATATTTTTGTTATAATATATTAACCTACCTTTAAAACAGATATTCTTATTCCATAATAGAGAAGCTAGATTTTTTAAAATAAATGCTGTTTAGTTAAAATTATTGTATGGAGAAAACCAGATATTTGGACCAAATACAGAAAAATATTACTTATTTAGCACCATCCACTTTAGAATTTCATTAAATGCAGTATTTATATTCTAAAACTCTTAAACCATCCATTGTTATTGTAATGTTATAAAGCTTTATATATTTTTAACGCCTAAACATATTATTTCTTTCGTTGACTATACTTTGACAGATACATAACCTGAAAAGCCTTAAATGCCAAATTTTCAAAAGACTGCGTTCCGTACGTGGTCACGTGGTGGGACTTTGAGGTGTAGAGCATAGTACATATGTTAAAATTGTCAAATCAAGAATTACCAAAATTTTAGATCATACTATTCTATAGAAAAGGATGCAGACCAAGTCCGCTGAAAAAAATAATATCTTAAAAGAAATGAAAATCACTTTGATTCAAAAGATATATTTTCGGAAGATATTTCTCTTTTGAATGAAGAAAACGTTTTTTAGTGAAAAAAAATAAGATTTTAACAAGAAAACTGCATCTCTTAATTGAAAAGCTTAGGAACTTTCTAAGAAAGAAAATTTGTCTTGCTACACGACTATTGACCTAGGTTAGCTAACCACATTTTATTTTGATTTTAGAGCAAATATCTCTTGGTCAAATAGTATGTATTGCTTTATTCAAAAGCTTCTGATCTTCACTGAAACTACCAGCGGTGTTAGTATTTAAAATAAAATAAGACATTTATTGTTTGATATCAACAAGTTGCAATGATACAAAACGTACTAAACACGTGTGCCGCAAACTGTGTGTGCGTTTTGCATCCCCTCCCATGTATCAGAAGCTACCAGATTTTGTTAGAAAATTGACATGCTATTGGGATAATTGTGCTGTATCTTGAATGAATTAAGTAAATATAAATAGTTTTCATAGGTTTTGAACATACACTTTGCACTTAGTTGAAAGAAGAAACATTCAAAAGATTTTGTATTTGTTTTTAAGAGAACTATATTTCTTCGACTAAGAACTTTTTTCTTCAAATTTTCCATTTAATATGGAATTGACTATATCTTAAAAACTGCCCCCCTTTCATAATTTTTGACGGTATTTTCGGATTCAGAGGATAATTTTACATAAGAATTAGCCGTTAAATTTTGGTATACCATGGTATTTCATGATTAACCATGGTACAAGTGAAAAATCAGTCACTTATAACTATTAAATTAGTCATTTTTGACTAATTAATTTTTGGAGATTGCTTTATTACTTTTTTTTGACTTAAGACTTAAGACTTTTTTTGACTTAAATTAGTTAAAAAGGGTAAAATAAACCAAAAACTACCAAATATTACCTTCTTTTTAAC